AGCTTACAATCTAAGAGGGAGAGGCTGGTGATACAAAAAGTAATAACTGTGGGGGATGGACTGGTAGGAGGAATAGAAGATTCCATTACTAGCTGAAGGCAGGATAGGCTTCCCTGAAGAGATAGGTTTTTAGAGATCGCCTAAAAGTGGGCAGAGTAGGCGATAGTCTGATAGATTGGAGAAGAGAGTTCCAGAGGATGGGAGAGGCTCTGGAGAAGTCTTGGAGACAAGCATGGGAGGAAAAGACAAGGGAGCTAGAGAGCAGGAGGTCGTGGGAGGAGTGAAGAGGACGGTTTGATATTTGGAGACAAGTTTGGTGATGTAATTTGGGGCAGAGTTATAAATGGCTTTATATGTTATTGTTAATGTTTTGAATTTTAGTCGTTGGTCAATGGAAAGCCAGTGGAGGGATTGGCAGAGAGGGATGGAGGAGACTGAATGGAGGCCAGAGGAGGGATTGGCAGAGAGTGGTGGAGGACACTGAATGGAGGCCAATGAAGGGATTGGCAGAGAGGGGTGGAGGACACTGAGTGGAGGCCAGTGGAGGGATTGGCAGAGAGGGGTGGCAGATACAGAACGGGTAGTAAGGTGGATGAGTCTGGCAGCAGCATTCATGATAGACTGAAGAGGGGATAGCCTGCGATGAGGTAGACCAATGAGGAGGGAGTTACAATAGTCAAGGTGAGATATAACAAAGGAGTGAAAAGGTTGCTTAGTGGTTTCAGAGGTTAGGAACGGGCGTATCTTGGAGATGTTGCAGAGGTGAAGTCTACAAGATTTGGACAGCGATTGGATTTGGGGCTGAAAGGACAGATGGAAGTCCAGGATTACACCTAGCACCCTGGCATGAGGGGAGGAACTTATGGTTGTATTATTGATCTTGATGGAGAAGTCAGGGGAGGGGGCATGGGCTGGGGGGGGGAATACTAAGAGCTCAGTTTTAGAAAGATTGAGTTTGAGGAAGTGGAGTGACATCCATGCCGATATGTCACTTAGTAGGTTAATAATGCGAGAGGAGACTGAAGGGGTGAGGTGAAAAGTAGAAAGATAGATTTGTGTGTCATCAGCATAGAGATAGTACTTGAAGCCATGGGAGTTTATCAAGTGACCAAGGGGAGGAGGTGTAGATGGAGAAGAGAAGGGGTCCAAGGACAGAACCTTGAGGGACCCCTACAGAAAGAGGGAGTGGAGAGGAAGAGACAGAGTTATAGGTGACACTGAAGGAGCGCTGCGACAGGTAGGAGGAGAAACCAGGAGAGAGCAGAGTCTTGGAGGCCACGAGAGTGGAGTTTTTTGATGAGGAGGGATGGTCAACAGTATCAAAAGCTGCAGAGAGGTCAAGTAGTAAGAGTACTGAGTAGTGGCCATTGGTTTTAGCAGATAGATCATTAGTGAGTTTTAGTAGGGCAGTTTCAATCTTAAGTAAACACGTAATAAATCCTGCACTGCTATGCTAAAATTTGGCACAGTCACTGGGCTATTTTTTTTTTTTTTTTAAGGTACTTGAAAAACTTGATCTTATAATTCACATTCTACCCTGAAACTTCCACATGGACAGCTGCCTTCTAGGGGGCGAGACCTATGATTTTACTGTCATTTTTATCATTGTAACCAAAGAGGCCCGCTCAGTACACCAGCAATAAGCAAAGTGCACAAAACCCAAGAAGGCAACCAATCAGAATTAATATCTGACTGCAGTATAATATTCATGTATTTTTGCTTTACATTTTCATTGAGTTTATTTTTATGTTTTATTTGTATTTTTCATTGTTAATTGGTTCTGTATTTTTTGTTTTCACTACAGGCACTGTTATTTTGTTTTCCTAAATTCCCTGAGGAAGTGGGTCTTATCCCACGAAACGTGTCGGATTGCTGGATCAATAATTCAACTTTATGGAACTACATTTGCCTATTGATGATCTATGTATCTGATGGTATTGTTGGGGCTCTTAGACTCTTGCTCACGACGCCTATGCGTCCCTGGCCAGAGCCTTTCCCCCACTTTTTTTTACTTCTAGATTTATACTATGTTTTTTCTGCTTAATTATGCATGTGTCTATTTTACAGAAATACAGAAATCTAGAACTGTCCACTTACCGTTCACACTTGGCTCCAGCGTAGCCTGGTCTGCAGAGGCACTGAGTTGTTGAGCCTCTTTGCACACATCCAATGGCAAAACTGCAGAAGAGTGGCACCATGTGAGATTACAAATACGTAAAAGATAAAAAAGACACTCAAAATGTAACAAAAATATAAACATTAGTATAGGCTTACTTGTTGGAGGGCACAGAGAGAGGGCAGGGGCACGCCACACATTGTAATGATCCCCCAATGGACCCATTAGCCACAAAGCCATCTTTACATCGTTCACACTGGTCTCCTTCGGTGTTGTGCTGACATTTCTAGGGAGAAGAAGGGTAAGTGATAAATGTTTGGGGGGATGGCTTCCAAAGACCTTCATAGTCCTAGATATATAGGGGTTTATTTACTAAAGCTGGAGAGTCCAAAATCAGACTCCCTTCTGCATAGAAACCAATCAGCTTCTAACCTCAGCTTGTTCAATGAAGCTTTGGCAATGAAACCTGGAAGCTGATTGGTTTCTATGCAGAAGGGAGTCTGATTTTGGACTCTCCAGCTTTAGTAAATAAACCCCATAGTGTCATACTCACCACACAAGCACCCGTTCCCGGTAAGCACTGATCAGAATGCCCACTGCAGTTGCAAGGAACGCATTTACCCAAGAAGAGACCCTTGTCTCTATAGAATCCAGGAGCACATTCCTGCCGAGGATAACAATAGAAGATTGATTAGTAATGAATCACGTGATCAGGGGCGGACTGACAACTCATGGGGCCCCCAGGCAATAGAGAATCATGGGGCCCCTGTGTCCTTGCCCAAACTCAAAAAAGCCTATGAAAAAGGTACCAAGGGCATCTCATGGGGCCCCCTACTGACCCCGGGCCCTCGGGCAGTGTCCGAGTTTCCAAATGGTCAGTCCTGCCCCTGCACGTGATCTAAATTCTTAATGAAATACTCCATTTACTGCTCTGTTTAAACAGCTTGCCCAACAACATGCAGACATAAAAAACTGGAAGGTGCTCTATTACAGTGAATGACAGCATGAAAAGCATCAGTCAGCGGGATGTACACATTGTCATCTTGTCCACAAATCTCCCAGAGTAAGCTGGCAGCACAGACCCGTCACTTGCTGCATGCTGAGAAAATTGTTAAAGCTTACACTATTAGATTACTAGCAGCAATGCCCACAGTTGTTGCTTTTCCAATAAAAATGAGGCAGCACATATGGCTGGGTGAGTTGTGTACCTGGCAGGAGTCCCCGCGGTAGTTGGCTGGGCACATACACAGCTCCACATTGCTGGCCCTCACTCCAAAACCAGCATTTTGTCCAATTTCCAAAACCACTCGGCGCAGGGACACCATGGCAGAAGACTGAGAATTTAAAGCTCGAATCTGCAGCTGCTCCAAGTTGGCCAAAACCATCATGATGTCCTCGCGGGATACAGGATTGTTCGTTCCAATGTGGATGAAGTTACTCTGCAGAGGAGAAATATTCTGACATCACTCGACAAAGTGACATGACATCTAATACAGAGGCAGGTGAGGTTTGACATACAGGCACCTCCTGACCTATCAATTTACAAGGCTGCAATCTACAATGTCAGCACATATATATAAGTCAGCCCTTTGCTCTCCTTTGTTGTTAGCATGTTCCTTTAAAGCAACACAGCCCTGATTGTTTCACAGAGACCCCCACCTTCTCCAAGTTTTCGGTGCAAGGGGTTACAGGAGGCTAAAATAAAGACAGATTGAGGTCCTTAAGCTAGCTGTACGTACATTACAAATAAAAATATCTTTGGGTAGCATACAATCCTTTAGGGACTTCTAATACTCCCAACGTAGCTCAAGTCCTTCCTGTTTTAAAGAGTTACTAAACCCACAACAGTAAATTCAGTCTGTTTATACAGAAAAACATGCTTGTTATACTCACTGTGAACCTAAGGGGTTAATCCTCTGTATTGCATACAAAGGCAGTTTGGTCCTGTCTTTTCTGATCCTCTCCTTTTTCCGCAGTCCCCAATCCATCTACCATAGTAGCAGTGGCAAGCCTGCACATGCTCTGTTTAGTGTGTATTGCTAGAGATTTTTTTTTTTTTGGAGGGTGCGTGTGATCAACACAGGGCCAATCAGCGCTGTCCGGGCACAGGGTCTGGGGTCAGGCAACCTCAGAGGACAGTCAGAGGAGAATGAGAACTCCTCCTTAACCAGTGCTCGGCCGGGCACTGATAGAAGTCACAAGACTGCTATATACTGCTGATGAGAAAAGATATTTAGCAGTTTGTATTTACTAAAATAATTGCATTTCCTTGTTCTGTGTACTGTGGAAGACTGGATATAGTGAATGCAGGGTCGGGAATGAACGAATATAGTGACTGCAGGGTCTGGAAAGAGCAGATATAGTGAATGCAGGGTCCGGGAAGAACGGATATAGTGAATGCAGGGTCTGGGGAAAATGGATATAGTGAATGCAGGGTCTGGGGAGAGCGGATATAGTGAATGCAGGGTCTGGGGAGACCAGATATAGTGAATGCAGGGTCTGGACAGAGCAGATATAGTGAATGCAGGGTCTGGGGAGAACGGATATAGTGAATGCATGGTCTGGGGAAAATGGATATAGTGAATGCGGGGTCCAGGGGAGAGCAGATATAGTGAATCCGGGGTCCGGGGTTTAGTAATAAATTAGGCTGCATGTTCTGTCTAGAATGAATTAACTTGTTACCCAATACAAAAGTCATATTCTCACCTCGATAAGTTGGATCTGTCCTTCGTGAGTCTCTCCTGGTAATAGGTATTTTGTCTCTAGGAATGCAATACTCATCTGGTTTCCCTGCAGAAGGAGAACACAAATATCTAGTTCTATTCAGCTGTTTTGTAATCGATATCATCTCTGAAAATCTGGTAGTTGTCTGTACCTTCAGTATGACATCCGGCCTTCGCTCCACTGGATTGTAGGGGTAATCTCCTCTGAGAGCTTCAGAATTAAGCTCATAACTCAGGAATCCACCATAAGAAGAGACCTGAGGTCACAAAACATTATTATCAGTGGTCTTCATATCCACACTAAGGGAACAGTGTAGGTATGATCAAAGGGATCTGTTTTACTGAAAAAGAGAAGTATGGCCCTAAATACAAATAGTGGAGAGGAAAAAGGCTCTAAGCTGTCAAGTAAACCAACTTTATAAATTTTTTTTTACAGAGTTGCAATGTGTCGTAATCACATTTTCATCACCTCAAATTATCACAAAATATCTATTCTAAAATTCAGAAGTCATTAGTCAACAGATTATTATTAGCAAGCTGTTTTTTTTTCATAATTCAGGCCTCAGGACCTCAGGATTAGCTGTGTTGTCATTAGTTCAGCTAACAAAGATGCAAAAGATAAAAAGGCCAAAGCTCACCCGGTCTCCAAGGTAGCTTTGTGGAGCGTGCCAATAGAACTCCTGGTAGACATCAGGAACATCTCTCAGATCTGCCTCAACAAGGCCCTCACCAGGCCTCTCCAAGATTTCCACTTCCTGTCGATCTCCTCCAACCAGAACCCATCCTCGCATGTCACTAAACTGCAGGAGATCAACATGACAAGTCACTGGATTTGAGAGGTTGAAAGAACTGCTGGACCTCATGTTTTTTTTTTGCATAATTAGCTTTTTAGTAATTTTCAAACAATTACAACAAACAGGTTGCTTAGGCAAACACAAAGCGGTAGAAGAGAAAAAAAAAGATAACAGAAAAAAAGGTCATCGATGAGAGGTACATAGATACATACAATGTCAATACAGAACAGACAATTTAAGCAGACAAGTCAGAAGTATGAGTATCCCATGAGTCCCAAACTGCTTCAAACGCAGGAGGAAAAAGCCGCTAGGTACTCCATTTTTCTAATCTCTGTTATAACCTTCATCAATTCCAATAGCGTAGGGGGTGTAGAAGAAAGCCAATGCATGGGAATGGTTCTCCTGGCCGCTGTAAAAACGTGAGAGGAACGTTTCCTTGCAAATTTGGAGAGGGCTGGACCTCAGGTTCAAAGACACAGATCACTGGTATTTAACAAGCTAGACAACATGGGGGACGCATTACATTTTATACGACTTATACTAGCTGTAGATAACCCTACATTTTCTAAATCAGTAAGTTTAAAGAAAACAACCATCAATATTATGATTGCTGCCATACGTGGAGGACAATGGTTTAGATGGAAGCCTGTATTATATTCACCCCTGCTGCCTCTTTGTTCAGCTCTAGACCAACTCAGCTATTGTCTTTCTACTCTAAGGGCCACGTTAGATGGCGAATTTGCAGCAGCAATTAGATGCTGCTACAAATTGCTCATTCCAGTGATTAACAACGATCTGTAGCTAGTGAAGTAATCACTACAGCAGCTGGCAATTTGTCTCTAAGAAGCAATTTATGGCAGCTACAGGCCATACTCATGCTGCATCATTACGTGAGCAATTGTTACTATAAATTGCTCCCCTTCAGTAACTTGTAGCCAAGCCACAGAGGTGACTGCAGAGCAGTCATTGATAGCAAGCTTGTCATTGGCATGAAACACTGTACAAGCGCAACTGCTGAGAAACTCAGCTAAAAATCACTCTTTAAGTAGAGCTCCAAAACAAAACTCAGCTAAAAATCACTCTTAAGTAGAGCTCCAAGAAGAAACTCAGCTAAAAATCAGCTCAAATAAAGCTCCAAGATGAAACTCAGCTAAAAAAAATAGAGCTCCAAGACGAAACTCAGCTAAAAATCACTCTAAAGTAGAGCTCCAAGACGAAACTCAGCTAAAAATCACTCTTAAATAGAGCTCCAAGACGAAACTCAGCTAAAAATCACTATAAAGTAGAGCTCAAGACGAAACTCAGCTAAAAAACTCTTAAATAGAGCTCCAAGAAAATCTAAAAATCACTATAAAGTAGAGCTCCAAGAAGAAACTCAGCTAAAAATCACTCTTAAAATAGAGCTCCAAGAAGAAACTCAGCTAAAAATCACTCTAAAGTAGAGCTCCAAGAAGAAACTCAGCAAAAATGAAACTCAGCTAAAAATCACTCTAAGAAGAGCTCCAAGAAGAAACTCAGCTAAAAATCACTCTTAAGAAGAGCTCCAAGAAGAAACTCAGCTAAAAATCACTCTAAAGTAGAGCTCCAAGCAGGAGCAGACTGACCATTTTGGCACTCGGGCACTGCCCAAGGGCCCAGGGTCAGTAGGGGGCCCCATGAGATGCCCCTGGTACCTTTCATAGGCTTTTTTGGGTGTTGTTTGAGTGTGGGCGAGGACACAGGGACCCCATGATTTCCTATTGCCTGGGGGCTCCATGAGTTGTCAGTCTGCCCCTGGCTCCAAGACGAAACTCACCTAAAAATCACTCTAAAGTAGAGTTCCAAGAAGAAACTATATACAAATAAATTACCTCTAATGATGGGTGCCCCATGTGTGGATGGCTGCTGTGTTAGGTAAAACGCTCAGCTTCAATTATACCCAACAGTTTAATCTCTCATGTAGTGGAGGATAATGTTGCTCACTTTCCACTTCCCTTGATCTTTTTACAGAATACAAAGCTTTTTGTGAAAGGACAAGGGTAGAGGGTGGACGAACATCAAGATCTCCCCTTGTCCATTCACTGAACAGCTTGTAAACATAGAGTAGGCTTAGGCTATATTTAATCCTATCCTATTAAGCCAGTTTCAGCATTCCACCAGTGGCGTATTTAGTTTTGTGCTGCCCTCAGGCAGCACAAAATGCGGCCACCCCCCTGCGGAGAGAGGCTGACACCAACCAACACCACCCCCCCCCAACCTGACCCCCCCACCCGAGAAAGCCTTCCACTACCACCACCCTCCATACAACGGCCACCCCTTCCCCCCCAGCGAGAGAGAGAAAGACAATCACCTTTACAGCTCCAGACATCCCCTGGAATGAGAGTCAGGCTCTGCATACACCGTCAAGCAGCCCGCAACCTCTCTCAGATCCCACCTGGTCCCCATGCCGCATGTGTCCCTTCTTCTGTCCATTCTTCTGGGAGCGGTGCTGCCCCCCTGAAAAATGCCACCCTAGGCAAATGCCTTGTTTGCCTTGTGGTAAATACACCCCTGCATTCCACATGATATGACCAAACTGTGCATGCTAAGTATTATCCTTTTTTTTTTTATCCTAAAGGTTCTCTAGGTCTACCTACTTGTATGTTTTCCTTCCACAGCTGTCCTTAAGGACCCAACTTCCTACTTAGACAACTTATATTGTAAGCCGAGTATGTTCTATACTTTTGATTATGAGAAAGCATATACTGCTGAGAGCTCAAGACCACTTTTTGTAATCTGCCCCTCTTCCTCCTCATCCATAACATATTGTCTATGGTCGCTCTATTTGAGAACAGATATTATATGTAGTACTGATTTGAGAGGTTTGTTATGTGCATAGCATGCAGAGAAAAGATGTAGCACCATTTGCTGCACCTCTTAAAAAAATACCCACATTTGGCTCCTTGTTCTTGAAGTCACAGAGTACAGAATTACAGCCCCCATTCTAATATCTGGTGAGGGCGTACAGGGTAAAATACGGCGTGTTACTGTGGTGTCTGGAAGTCAGAGCTGAAGCATACTTTTGCCTTTAGGAATGCATTGCAGCAAACGCTATGTGTGCCTATACATATGTAACCACTGGCATTAACTTCTGCAAGCATTTTTGAAAATGCCAAATTTTACATTCTGAAAATGATATGTGTATGCGAGTAAACACTGATGCCGGCGGTTATACATGTATAGGCGTGTGCAGTGTTTTCTGTAATGCTCTCCTATAGACAAAAATATGCTGTAGCTGGGGCTCCAGGGTTCCACAACCACAGCTGTTTTTTACTCTGTACTCCCGTATGTTGTAAATTATGGCTGTGTGCCTTTAACACAGTGAATATTCCTAGCGGGGACACAGAAGAAAAAAAAAAAAAAAACATGAGAAGGGTTCTAATCCCTCAAGACTTTACCCAAATTGTTAAAAAAAGGCTTTAGATACACGTTATTGTGAACAAGGCTTCTAAATCATTTAAAGATGTTGACTAATCCTAGGTTCACACCTTTTGCAGAAACACAGTACAGTCCATTTAACATGGTTCCCTATGGGACAGGTTCACATCTCCACGTTTTCACCCGGTGCGCTTTTTGGAAAGGGTCATGGACTTTACCTGAGAGCGATACTTGGATGAGGTGTGGCACCGATCTGTGGCTCCAAAACAGAAGCAGCGAGTGCAACCCTTCGGATTATGGGCATCAAGATAGAAAGTTCCCAGACGACAGCGGTCACAAGTTGGACCGTCCACGTTTTCCTAAATGTAGTCAGAAGCTTTAGTTAGCAACATCAATCACATTTATAAAACAAAAATGGACAACCTCACATGCTATGATCAAAATTCACCAATATTCATCTTCTAAAACTGAGACTGACTTGTAAATTTACCCAACCTCATCATTTATGGTGGCCACGTGGGCATTTATTGGATCAGTAATGAGATAACTGTAACTCCCTCCTCATTGGCCTACCTCATCGCAGGCTATCCCCCCTCCAGTCTATCATGAACGCTGCTGCCAGACTCATCCACCTCACTAACCGTTCTGTATCTGCCAATCCCTCCACTGGCTCCCAGTTGCCCAACGGATAAAATTCAAAACTCTAACAATGACATATAAAGCCATCCACAACACTGCCCCAATTTACATATCCGATCTAATCTTCTAAATATCACCCAAACTGTACACTCCGCTCCTCGCAAGACCTCCTACTCTCTAGCTCCCTTATCTCCTCCTCCCATGCTCATCTCCAAGACTTCTCCAGGGTGTCACCCATCCTCTGGAACTCCCTACTCCAATCTATCAGACTAACACCTACTCTACTTGCTTTCAGCAATCACTGAAAACCTTTCTCTTCAAGGAAGCCTTTCCTGCCCTCCACTAATTCTGGAATCCTCTACTCGATTGTAAGCTCCCAGGATCAGGGCCCTCAAATCCCTCTTGTATTGAACTGTATTGTTACTGTATTGTCTCCCACTATATTGTAAAGCGCCGAGCAAACCATTGGCGCTATATAAATCCTGTATAATAATAATAATAAATTCCAGGATCAGTACAACACACATCCAATAGAAGATCTGTTCAGCCAAACATGATTTGTTAGAACATTTTTTACTGTGACATCAGCTGTTTACCAGTAAATTGGAACAAATTAAGTTTATATCTACTTTAATGTAATTTTAATGTATTGTTCACATTTTACACACTTATACTAACTATATTCCCATATATAGTTACATACTGACATAGTTAGTCTGGCTGAAAAAAGACAAAAGTCTTATGTATAACAATATTTTTTTTCACTATTGTTATGTGTTTCACTACAATTACTCCACCTCCCTGAACAAAAATGGCTGACTACAAATAATACAGAAAATAATTTTTTTAAGATAATCTAATTAGACAATTAAGCAGATGACTTTCACAAGCTTAGCTAAAAAAATAAAAAAATAATGTAAATTAAAAAAATAAAAATTGTAAATACTAAATTTCTTCTTAAGAGCTGACCTTGCACAAGCAGTGCCCGGTGAGAGAGTCACATATGGCGGCTTCAGTACCGGCTCGGTTGCAGTCACACAGTTTGCAGTTGGGGTAACCGTAAAACCCAGGAGCGCATTTCTCACATCGCCGTCCCATAATGTTTGGTTTACACCTACAATAGGAAATGTGTGAAGAGAACATAAATTGTGAATCTTACGTTTTTCTATGGGATTTCTGATGTTACTTAATAGCTTTTTTTCAGATGTAAATTATGGTTCACTTTAACAAAACAAGAGAGAAAGACCTTTTAAAGGTCTGTCATTTGGCGGAGTTCAGACCTCACAGCCTTTGAAGGAGCTACATAATGGATCTGATTTTAAGAGTTCAGAGCCCATAATAAACTGTATTACCCTGACAGATTTATATATGAAGAGCCCTCCTATATAACAATGTATGGGTTCTTAGAAGGTAATAGCCCACCCAAGCATGTATTAATGTCAGACAATGCGTTGACAATACCATAGCGGGTGGTGTCTACACAAATCAGATAAAAAACTACTTTGTTGTTTGAATCAATGGTGAAATGCACCCTAGGAATTCCCTTTCAAGCAGTGCCTTTGCTGAGGAAATTAGGCATCAGAGATAGGAGGTTTGTGATTTGATAAGCCGCTACAAACACAGCAGAAACTACAGGTCAGAGAAGTATAAAACAGCCTTTAAAAACGAATTAAACAGTACAATCTAAGATCTGCCTCTTTACCCAGCCCTGTAACACTAGGCCTAATTTATCAAACTAAACACATAACTGAGCACTCAAATAAAGGTGATCCAGTAGCGCATAAATATATACAGTTGTGTTCAAAATAATAGCAGTGTGTTGAAAAAAGTGAATAAAGCTCAAAATCCTTCTAATAGCTTTTATTTCCATCCACACAAATGCATTGGGAACACGACACATTCTATTCCAAATCAAAACATGAAGAAAAATGCATCAAATTTGTGTTGCTCCTCTAAAAAAATTGAAGAAAAGTGAATATTAGACTTCAAAAAAAATCGCAGTGTTTGTATTCTTCTTTACAAACTTAAACATTCACTATATAAACTGAAAAGTGTTTGAAGATTTTGCTTTCCTTTGAATCACTTCATGAATATTTGGTTGTATAAACACTGTTTCTGAGAACTGCTGTACATCTGTGTTGCATGGAGTCACCCAACTTCTGGCCCCTGTGAACAGGTATTCCAGCCCAGGATGATTGGACGACATTCCACAGTTCTTCTCTATTTCTTGGTTTTTCCCTCAGAAACTGCATTTTTGATGTCACCCCACAAGTTTTCTACTGGATTAAGATCCGGGGATTGGGCTGGCCACTCCATAACGTCAATCTTGTTGGTCTGAAACCAAGATGTTGCACGTTTACTGGTGTGTTTGGGGTCATTGTCTTGTTGGATCACCCATTTCAAGGGCATCTCCTCTTCAGCATAAGGCAGCATGACCTCTTCAAGTATTCTGATGTATTCAAACTGATCCATGATCCCTAGTATGCGATAAATAGGCCCAACACCGTATTATGAGAAACATCCCCATATCATGATGCTTGCACCACCATGCTTCACGGTCTTCACGGTGTACTGTGGCTTGATTTCAGTGTTTGGGGGTCGTCTGACAAACTGTCTCCGCCCCTTAGACCCAAAAAGAACAATCTTACTTTCATCAGTCCACAAAATGTTGTGCCATTTCTCTTTAGGCCAGTCAATGTGCTCTTTGGCAGATTGTAACCTCTTCAGCACGTCTTTTTTCCAACAGTGGGACTTTGTGGGGGACTTCTTGCAGATAGCTTGGCTTCACATAGGCGTCTTCTAATTGTAACAGTACTCACAGGGAACTTTACACCTTCTTTCATCTTCCTGGAGCTGATTGTTGGCTGAGTCCGTGCCATTTTGGCTATTCTTCTATCCATTCGAATGGTAGTTTTTTTCGCTTTCTTCCTCGTCTTTCAGGTTTTGGTTGCCATTTTAAAGCATTTGCGATCATTTTAGCTGAGCAGTCTATCATTTTCTGCACTTCTTTATATGTTTTCCCCTCTCCAATCAACTTTTTAATCAAGGTACGCTGTTCTTCTGAACAATGTCTGGAACGACCCATTTTCCTCAGAATTTCAGAGAGAAATGCACTGTAACCAGCATGTACAACATTTGCTGCCTTCCTTCCTTAAATAAGGGCAATAATTGCCACCTGTTTTTCAAATAATGAATGACCTCACTAATAGAACTCCACACTGCTATTATTTTGAACACGCCCCTTTCAATTAGTGATTCAATGACACAGAATCAGCAGCATGCATGTCATGACTGTTGGGTCTGTTGGATTTCTATTACTCTACTACACCTGCTAGTAAATTATTTGCCATGTAGAAATATCATTTCTACCAAAAACAGTGACTGATCCGGTTAGTGATGTCTGACTGCTATTATTTTGAACACAACTGTAAGTGAAAAATGGTCAACATAAAATGTAAAAAATGAATGTGAAGTCCAAATAAAGTCCAAAAGCTACTTCTTATCCACCAAAAAGAGTCTTCAAAATCTTCACACTAAATCACCACGTGAAGAGAAAATGCTGTTCCCCCTACTGGATGTGCACTCACCAGCAAATGTTGCCCCCCACTGGTTGGCTAAAGAGGCTCAATCAATAACTCCCGGTGGGCTCCCAGACCAATCAGTGCCAGTGTCAATCATCTCCTGCAATTTTTATTATTATTATTATACAGTATTTATATAGCGCCAACAGTTTGTTCAGCGCTGTACATTATAATGGGAGACAGTACACGAGACAGTACAGTAACAAAACGATTCAATACACGAGGGGTTCGAGGGCCCTGCTCCTCGGAGCTTACAATCTAGGATCGCCTTTTAACTGACAGTTTGAATATTTAAACGTTTTATGTTCACCATTTTTCACTTATATATTTATGCGCTACTGGATCACCTTTTTTTGAGTGCTCATTTATGTGTTTTGTTTGATATTTTTTAAAGTAGCAGCATTTTGATATTTATCTATTTATGTGTGTACTTTTACATATTTGAGTTATTTTTCATGTATTCAGCGCAGTATTTACACATTTTTTCTAATTTATCAAACTGCCCTACCCATCAATCAGATATTCCCTTTCAGGTATTCAATGTTACAATGAGAGCATAAGTGGTAGAATTGAATTGTTTTTTCAGGGAAAATAAGAATAGTTCTTTCTCTACACACTGCACCATTAGCTACAATTATAAAATGTATTCCAAAGGAGAGCATACGCATGTCCTGAATCAGATTATCAAAAAGGCAATCTTGGCAGGAACATATGTCTCGGTGGCAGGGGTGGACAGACAACTCATGGGGCCCCTGGGCAATAGGGGATCATGGGGCCCCTGTGTCCTTGCCCAAACTCAAAAAAGCCTATGAAAAAGGTACCAGAGGCATCTAATGGGGCCCCCTACTGACCCAGGGCCCTCGGGCAGTGCCCGAGTTTCCAAATGGTCAGTCCGCCCCTGCTTGGTGGATGTCCAAAGGAGACAGCTACAACCTTCATGCTTCTGGAGTAAACCAGCAGGCTATCACAACTGCTCAAAGTCATGAACCTGCCTTTCACTTCACAAGGGATGATGTACTTGAAGGCAGTTAGATTGTAAGCTCTCAGGATCAGGGCCCTCCTAACCCTCTTGTATTGAACTGTATTGTTGCTGTATTGTCTCCCATTATATTGTAAAGCGCTGAGTAAACTGTTGGCGCGATATAAATCCTGTATAATACTAATTTAAAAAAAATGGGTGGGTCATGCAAGCACAGACAATGGAACATCTTCTCTGTGCCTACTGCAATCCCTTCTAGTGGAAATCAAAAGGATAAGGACATCAAAACTGCTACCTTGATTAGGGCCTAAATCTGCCTATGTCACTGTTGCAGGGAGGTCTCATCAGATTGGTGGTTGAAGATCAGATAGGTAGAGTGGAGGTGCAGGGAATGTTCCTGTGAGGCCTGCTGGGTACTCCTTCCAGAAAGTTCAGGAGAACTTGCTGTTCATGATACAGTACGGCAAGTGAACTTTGCAGCCCAGAAACAAGTGTGTCACTGGCCAGAACATAAAAGAAAGCTATTGCAGCTATTTTATTTACAGAATGGTTCCAAGGAAGGGGAACCACAAGTGTGTATAGCCTAATTGTAGGCATTAAAGGAGGTGAGCATACATCTTTACAAATTGGAGAATTCACTGAAAGTCATAAATTGAAGACTGATAATCACTTTTTCACAAATATTGGACTATATTTGATTGATGGGACTTTTATTATATATATAAAATTGGTTTGATGTTATAATTTATTTTGTCATATAACACGGTCACTTATGAATACTGATCCCTTATTATAAATTTAAGGGGTGTCACATTATAGGAAGGATATAATATTTTGGTATTGTGTTAATAAGGAGCGCAACATTTAAAGGTTTATTAGGTATCTGGAATTTTGGACCTTGCTTCTGACCTACATGGAAGTTAGAACACAATACCCAGTGTAGGAATATTGTACCGTCACTTACGCGCACTGTCCTGTCTGGATTTCACAGCCAGGCTCAGTAATGTTCTGCAGTCTAGTCTCAGAACAATCACAGTCTTCACACTTCACACTAGTCTCAGAACAGAGGGCACACAAGCAAGAGACTTGCCTTTGGCTCTGAGAACGAGGCAAGTCCTCGAAACGCGTCAGCCTATTGGATGTCTACACTCCCTATTGAGACTGTTACTCAGCGCGGTGTTGACCCAGCTGTTCTTTTATGACGCGCCTTGACTTTATAGTCGTTTGTGAGTACAACACCTACTTTATTTCTTATTAAACATTTTTTATGGTAATGCACTAGGCCTGTGCACCCTCTCTTTGTTCTTTCCTCATTCAGTATATTTGAATTCTCCCGGTCTATTTGAGGGCAGCAAGGTGTGCATGTTCCAGGACATTCTTAATGTGGTTGTAGCCTGCATCGAGTCCATCCCCAAGCGCAGGAGCATTTGTGTTTGCTGGTTCTTTAATCACACTCTTCACACCCAAACTTCTGACCTACATGGAAGTTAGTACACAATACCCAGTGTAGGAATATTGTACCATCACTTACGCGCACTGTCCTGTCTGGATATCACAGCCAGGCTCAGTGATGTTCCGCAGTCCAGTCTCAGAACAATCACACTCTTCACACCCAACCAGCGCATGGCAACCAAAGGTCTGAGGCTGACAAACTGTGCAATCCGGCCTCACAGTACGAGGAGGGCAGATACACTGTCCAGTCACCTCATCACAGAGACGTGATCCACACTCGCATGCTGTAAGAGACAAAAAAAAAGACGAGTAAGTCATTCACTCATCATTCCGACAACGCAATATTGAAATTTGTAGATTAAAGGTGCCCTATCAATTTCCACCTGCAAGAAAAACAATAGGACCCTTGTGTTCATCTCATTTATCTGCTTGGCTGAATAACCTTGACCTTTGAATTAAATTAGTGTTCACACTGCATTGTAACAAAGCCAGGCTTACATGCCAGCTGCACAGGCACTTTGGAATGGTTTCAAGAATCTCAGAAATAGATGGAGTGAAGGAAAAGGGAATTTGTTGGATTTTTTGGATGCTACAAACATTTATTTATAACATACTTTAAATAACCCCTTTAATACAGAATGTAATCACAACTTGGAGACAAAAGGATTGCTCTTGTACAACAGGTGCACTGGAACTTACGCCTGCAGTCAGGGAATCCCCAGAATCCTGTGGCACAACGCGAACAATCTCTTCCAATCATATTGGGTCTGCAAACGCACTGTCCTCCGTAAGGCTCGCATGATGTGCCCAGGGAGCCAGCCTCGTGGCAGTTGCAGGACTGGGCACCATTGTTGTAGAAGAGGGACAGAGAGATGGCAGCATCTCGGCAGAATTTAGTCGAAGCTGGACTGGTGGGGGAAAAACACAAGTGAAAATTTTAGCAAGACCCTATTTTGCCTATCTGCACTATTATGAAAAAAAAAATAAATGTAGTTACCTGCTCTGGAAGCTGTTGGTACTGCACTGACTGATAAAACTGTATGATTTGTCCAGTGGTTCTTCAACTAAATAGCCGGAGCTATAACTATCCTCTGGTATCACCAGTATGTACTCCTAAAACACAGATTGTAAGCATATTGATCAGCCCTCATCGTTAGAGAGTACCATTCATTTACAGCATTATCTTGCCCAGAAATTCAATGGAACCTACCAGCCATATGATCTTTCCATCTGGTACATGTATGGTGACTGAGATGTCACTGTCAGTCATGCCCAAGATGGCCTGGTCTTCAGACAAAACCAAACTACGGCAACCAAAACCATGAGGGCAGAATGTGGCATTGGCAGAGCCTAGGGAGAGAAAAGACAGCTCTGTTACATGTGTGTCAATAAAAATGGAAGATATGTCTACTTTAGTCATCCAATAAACATGTCTATAACTGGCTCATAACCCTTAAACACCCATAATCCTTACCTCTCCAAACCCAGCCACCATGCACCTGTACCTCCAAAGTAAATGATGGTTGGGAGGGTTGATAGTAGTGAATCATGAAGGCGAAACGGCCTGGCGATGGAACGCGTCCATTATAAGTCACTGTTGTCTGCTTTCCAACAATAATAGAAAATAAATTCCTTTACTAATGATGTTGCTTAATGTATGAACAGAAAAACATCACACATTAGATGATTTTGAGATTAGGAAACTATCAATAGGTGTCTCTGGCATCAGTCCTTGGTGTATACTCCAACAGTGAGATCTCACTGCCATAATTCTGTTGCTGTCCAACTTAGAATTTTTTTTAATGTGTTCTCCCCACCTTTATGTGTCCTAAATTTACATTTTGCAAAATAAAAAGTAAATAAAAATCCAGCAATAGTGGGTAGCCCTTCATTATGGGCACAGCAGGTGTACAGACCCAGGAAATGAGAGATCTCATCAACAGTATCCCTGAGAGATAGAAGAGATTGTCAGGAGCACTTACAAAAACTGATAGTAACAGATTTTGGTAGACTAACCTTTTAGAGAAGAAGACTTGTTTCAAATTTTATTAATGTATGTTTGTTCCCCAGGGACCAAGTACATGTAGTACTTTGTCCCATATTCCTATGTGTTGGGGGGAGATGTGGGGTCGGACAGAGCAACCCTCCTTCCTCCATGCCTGTCAGACTGAGCAACCATCCTTCCTCCACACCTGTTGGACAGGGCAACCCTCCTCATTCCTTCCACATTCATCCAACAATACAGGTGATTTGACAAATGTTGATTTTCTCCATCTCCCAGCACTTGCCTGAGACAAACATTTCAAGAGGAATGCAGGGGGAGAGGGACTTGTCAGCTAAAATGTTCCAGGTAATAAGGCAAGTGCTTGGAGACTGAGAAAAGTGCTGTTTGTCCAAGAAGCCATCTCCTTGCAACATGCGTTGTTGGACGGCTATGGAGGGATGCCCTGTCTGGCCTTGCAGCTAGCCCTAAACAGCACATAAGAAGATGGGACAAAGTTCTACATGTACTTCGTGGCCCGGGGAATTGAACACATTATTAAAAATAGAAGTGAGACTTCTTTAAATGTGACAGACTCAGTTATCATTCTGCAGGACATCACTGTTAATTTTACCAAACAACCTAACTTTTGTATTAATCAGAAATAAGCAAAGCCTATTGGTAGGTATGGGGTGTTTAGATATATACGGCATTACTCTGCACACGCTAGCACACATTTAAAGCAAAGAACAATGTGGAAGGCAGAGTAAGCTATAGCGGACAAAAATCAAATATTAAATTAAATGCAAAACCTAATTGATTCCTATAAATTACTACACGACATTGACTTTTTCAATTCATTAGTTTCTAAGCTTTCTGGCCTTAAAGGATATCTAAACCGAAGAAAAAAAATGCAACATATTGGAGCTTACCGTCCTCGGATTTGGTGACTACATTTGGGCAATTTTTAGTCTAAGTACATTTTATGCCAGTAGAGAAAAAATACCTTTTGCTTCTGCCAAAAATTACCTTTTCATTTCCTGTGAGTTGAACTGAAAGCACAATATTATCTTCTTTTCAAAGTGTCTTCTGTAAAACACTAATTTCCCTCCCCCACGGAATGCAAATGAATAGATGAAGACTCCTTCTGTAGTCCAATTCAGAAAAAGCAGCTTGGGTGAAAACCATGGCTCCCTCCATAGACACAATGGAAGGACAGATACTGTGTTACTTGCCAGACAACCAGGTGAAAATAAAGGGAAAACAGCCAAAAGTGTAATGTAATGTAGTCACAACATCTAAGTACTGGTAAGCTACAATGTATTATATTTTTAATTTATGGTTTAGATACTTTTAAAATCTTCGGAAATGAATTTTGTGTTTTGTAGTTTAACTCCCCTACCTTTAGTCACCAATGGTAATAAAGGTTGCATTATGCTTAGAGATCATAGCCAACAAACGCCTCTTGCTGGATAATTTATAACCTATCCTCATTTCCCAGGATCATGGAGCTACCAATCCCATATTCACTTACAGGAACCCCTGCTGTTAAATATTGCTGCTGCACCTTATACTGCATCACTCAGCAAGCCACTATGAATGTGTTTCGTTGAATATATTTAATTCCACGCAATTATTAAAACAATGCTGGGAACAGGGCCCCACTGTTGGTTACAAATGGGCTATTTTGGCAAAACCCCAATTAGGCCATTTCATAGAGAGGCCAGTAACTTGTGGCAGAGGGTGCAATTTATCACAAACCTCAGGAGATTGCAGATGTATCACTTTGGTGGCATCTACAGCTGTCGGTGGCAGTGATGTTGGATGTTGTACATCAGTAGATGGAGTTTGGTGTCCTGGCCATACAGGGATAATATTTGAAACTGAGCTAGTCTTCCCCTCTGTTAAAACCACTGACTGTGATGGTTTATGAAACCTTGATGGAACGCAAGAACCACTGTGGATGAAAGGAGGTATAAGATCAGAAGCCATAAAAGTACTATACAAACCATCAGAGGCAACTAGGATTGAGCCAAATACCTGCTGGGGTTGAAAGATCCATGAACCGCAATGCAGTGAACTCGTGGCTCGATGTACTGCATAGTGAACTGGTCAGCAGGAATGAGGAAAACCTTGCCCTACAAGAAGGAACAGCAGTGTAAACTTAGAGACTTAAAGTGATATTAAAGGCTTTTTTTTGTAATAACAGTCATGTCACAGTTACTTGCTCTGTGCAGTGGTTTTGCCCAGAGCAGCCCTGATCCGCCTCTTCTCAGGTCTGCCGCCGGCGTTTCTGGCCCCTCCCTCCTGCCGAGTGCCCCCAGAGCAAGCAGCTTGCTATATAAGGTCACCCAAGCAGGCTTGCTCCCGAGCTGCTGCTCTGTTTGTCCATTCATACACACAGAGCTATAGCTCGGCCCTGCACCCTCTCTCTTCTCACTGGCTCACTAGTGTGATTGACAGACGATGGAGGCAATGGCTCCTGCTGCTGTCTCAGCCAATGAGAAGGAAGAGTTCCTGGAGAGCCGAGGCTCTCAGGCACATCGCTGGATCGATGTAAGCTAACCCCCTTTGACTACGTGCCATCGCATGAAACGCGTCAGTGAGGGGCTACAGCGGTGTGACATCACGCCGACCGGTGCCACGGGGCCCCGGCGGCCATTTTTTACATATTCATATGGGTCAGTACGTCTCTTTACTTTGCATTTACTTGGAATAAACACTCCTTATCCCAAGGATACTACACTATTTGGCCTCCTCTGTTTTGTGAGCTCCTTTGGGAGCCATCTACATTCACAGAGCAGCTCTTTCCAAGTGTGGCAGCACTGCCAAGCAGTGAGGGGTATCTGATCAGATCTGACCAGACTCATATAGGATCCTTGATGTCCTGTGGTTACCAACTTTAAATGCGCATTGTGGTTGCGTATCTGGTGAGTGCGCAATCTTTGCATGCTATATCACCTCATCCATGGATCCAGTCACTAGATTTCTGAAGATCATCTGGGATCTCATTCGCACTTACACTATGGACTGTATTTGTTTTTAGTGTGTAATACCTATTCACGTTACCAGTCACTACTTAGTGACATTTTTATCTGCACTTTGTCACCTATTTATGTGATTTTACTGTATTGTATTTTATATCATACATGAGAATATTTGA